AATTGCCATCTATAACACCCTAAAACTGATTAGGTTCTTCACCCCATAATGATTGAAGATTAGTATTTATTAAAATTAAGTAATAAAAAGCTAAAATAATAACAGTAAATAGATTTAACATAGAGCTTAAAGGGCTAAGAACAAATAAATAAATGATGAAAACAGAGAAGGGAAGAACAAACAAAATATGTTTAAAAAAAATTATCTATAAATTATAAAATTTTAACTACAGTCAATTCTAAAAGGTCAGAAAATATTATTCTATTGAGGAATAATTATGCTGTCATACACGAACACAAAGAACAGGAAATTTCAGGAAATAAATCTCAAATATTTTTGATCAGTCATTTTCAGTTATTCCATTTGAATACTAAACATTTGAATTCCATACCATGCATAGTATGAAAAGTAGTACATGCATAGTACAATAAAATTAGTACAACAAATTTTCTGTAATGCATGAAATTTGATGCAAAAAAGACTATTCTTAGTTACTGTTTTATAAATCCCAAGCATATTTCAAGGTGACAAATTTGTCACCCATGCTTATAATTTTAGCGACATTTGTTAAACATTTAACAATAATTGTTGGCATACTGGTATGAACCCTAACCATAATTTTTTAAAAATACATAATTTCTTTGCAATATAATTTATGAACAAAATAATAATACTGTTTAAAATCAGAGCAATCACTTGAAAGAGAGGCTTTCCCCATTCCTTTTAAAAGAAGGGGGGAAAGCAGGAAAATGTTTAATACTAAGAATTGTTTCTTCCGTTTGACACATTAAAACTAGCAATGAAGTTTCGAAATTTTTCAAGCATAGACTGAAGAATTCATTAAAGAACAATCGTTTTGATTACATATGTGTGATATTTGGCTATCATAGCATCAGAGAATTAAGACAAAACATTATTGTGATGAAATAAAAGCAAAGTCTAGTAAAAATATTTCTCTTTTGAATAAAATTGTAGCTAAATACATTATGCAAATTAAAAAATGACAAATCAAGAAAAAAATTAGAAAGTGAGGTGGAAAAAGTGAGGTTAGTGAGACAATGAAATTCTTTTTTTCTCTAAATTTGAAAGTAGCTAATTTACCAAAGAGTTAGGAAATCTCTGATGATAAACATTTTATATCAATAAATGCCTATTTTATTTCACATGCATTAAAAAAATATATTATTGTGTTAGATTTACTTAAATAAATGGAAATATAAGTTTTTAACTTTCAGTGCAAATTAATAAACTTTATAACGATATTACTAATTATTTTTATTTAATGGCCCACTAGCTAAAAATGTCACCAGCTACCACCTACTTTCAAAGTATGTATATAAACTATTTTATAAGAATTTAAGTACAATATATACATTATACAATACATACATCGTACAATATATACATCATACAATATATACATATATGCTAGTTATGGAAGATTGATGGAATGCAGTGTTTAATAGCAGCCAAATGCAGTGTTTAAAAGAAGGAAAATTCAAACAGGTTTATTATGTACTCCTGGTAATAAACTTTAACAGTTTTACAAAATAAGTAAGATGTTAAAATAAAGATTGTTGTTGTTAATTTACGTCGCACTAGAGCTGCACAATGGGCTATTGGCGACGGTCTGGGAAACATCCCGGAGGATGATCCGAGGACATGCCATCACAATTTTGATCCTCTGCGGAGGGGATGGCACCCCCGCTTCGGTAGCTTGACGGCCTGCGCGCGAAGTCGAGCACTTTGGGGGTAGCATAGTTTAACGAGGACCCATACCGCACACCCTCGGTCCCTACGCAGACTGATCCAAGTGGTCACCCACTCGCACACTGACCGTAGCCAGTGATGCTTGACTTCGGTGATCTGCTGGGAACCGTGTCTTAACGATCAGTCCACTGTGGGACGTAAAAATAAAGAAAATGGAAGGAAATGAACAAAGTAAAAGATTGAAAGATTATTAAGGAGATTTAGGATTATAGAATGGTTGGAGGGAAAAGAAACCTTCTTAGCAATTAGTTCAAGAGAAGTTTTGATGTCATTAAAAGAAGTTGTAGAAAAATTGTGACATATTCTAAATGAACACCACACTAATTTTTTGGAATTGAAGTTTTTTTTCATTTGTTAAGCAATAAACATTCAGGTAAATGCTTTTTTTTCATATTTTGCTGACAGCTGGAAAAAAAATTAATTCTTAAAATGCACATATCGATTTATACTTTGCAATGTCTTTGCAGACCCTCCCTGCAGCAACAGGCCCAAATGAGGGGAGTCCCAGGTTCCCAGTTCAGACACCCTGGTCAGGAGACCAGAGTTAACTAGGACACACTCATAGCATTCATTTAAAAAACTAAAATTTAAAGGGAAAAAAAGTCATAGCAACAATCCTAAATTACCAAAATCAATTACAGTACAAAGGATTAAAATTTAAAAATCTGCTAAAATAGTCCCAACACCTTGATCTCACCAAAATTGAATTTAAGCAAATTTAATCAGTTAACCCTTTATATCTCAACATCTCTGATTTTAATAAAAATTACTCATACATTAGAATACATCATTCTAAGCATGTAAAAAATAATTTACAACATAAAATTAAACAAATTATCGGAAAAATATTGATTGTTGCATTTCTGCAACATTATGCAAAATGACAAAAAAGTGCTTGTTGCATTCCTGCAAGATTGTGAAAAATGGCACTAAGATTGAAAGATTCAAAAATTTTAATTCATATCAAAATTTTTAAAACAATTGTTACTTTTCCTGTAACAAAGTCCAACACCACATTTCTCACAAATAGTTTTGTGCAAATCCTTAGCATTTTGGGTATTTGCATCTGATTCTTTTGTTAGCCCAATTTCTTCTTGGCGCACTGGTTTTGGCCGACAATCGCCGAAAATCGCCGAAATCGTCCTTCAAAATTTGTTGGGGCAAAGACATAGGCTTTTTGTGCATGTTGCAGACATGCAGCAAGGTGATATAAAGGGTTAAGTTTAAATCTAACATTTCAATAAAAAATTGAACTGCCTCAGTACAAGGTACTTTAGAATAAACTTGATTAAGACAATAATATAAAGTTTGTTTTAAGGATGGTAAATTATCTGGTAAATTACTATTGAGAATTATTGTAAATTTACCAATATAAGGTATAATCTTTCATCCAGTATAAATAATATAGAAAAACGTTAGGCAAATATATCATGAAACTATTGAACTGCCAAAATAAATAGTTGAAATAATGACAAATAATTTTTTCCCAGAAATACACAAGAGGAACATTGTAAAGCGGGAATGAGTTCATCACAGTAAAATCTAATGCCGCAGCCACAGTTTAACAGTGCCAATTTCGTATGTGGTACTTTTAAAGACATGACTGTGAACCTACTTAGAGGCAAAAAAGAGGAAATGGTAGAAGTCATAGGGGTGTTGTATACTAACGAATAAATCAAATAATATTATTACACTTAATTATAATCTTAAAATAAAACTGCAGATAGTTTATTAAAAGAATTAAAATAATAGCAAATGAGTGAACTTGAGTGTGCAGTCATTCGCTTTTCCACGAATGACCATAAAGTTACAACAAAAGGTAAACAAGAGAAAAATAACGCAGCGCAAATTGATGCAGTCGATTCACAAATCATATATTTATATATATATATATATATATCATTCTAAGTAGCCCCAAAATAGACTACACAAAACTTTAATGAGCTATTTAATAGGACAAAGGCAGAATATATGAAATTCCATGCTAACATCAAAAGGTATAGAAACATAAACGAAACATAAACACCACAAACATAATTTCTATTTTATGAATAGATAACATCTATTCATAAAACTTCACTCTGTTATACAATTGATTCAATGATATTTCTGCATTTCTCTTCCATTTTACCAAGGCACTACTCATGGTATTCATTTACCTAGCATCAAAACAACTTATATTTCTTCAATTATTTTCATTTTTGATCCTTAAGGAATATTGTATTATCAATAACAATATTTTTCAAACAAGTTATTCGTAAATCGTATGAACTTGTAATGTAATGTGTGGATTAAGAAAACAGCAAATAATAAAATGCAAAATTTGAAAACTGGACTACTTTGTTGTAGCTAAAAATGATGCCTAGTTAAAAAATCATACAAATAATTAAAAAACAATTTTTTTAAAAAATGCAATTGATTTTGAATAAAAAAACCATCCCCAAATAAAAAATTCTAAATGAATTACAACTATTATGCATAGAAATTTGTACTTATTTGAATAAGTGTGACATGGGTGTCATAAGTTGATAGGTATATGTCCCTCTCAATGATTAGAAATCTCTAAAAGTCCCCCCTATTCTTAGAAATCTCTAAAATATTGAGATATTTTAAACGAGTAAAGGAAATTTTTATGAATCATTATTAAGTTCAAAGTTAAAAGCAAGAAAGAGATTAAAAAAAAAAGCACCATCTTTTTGCAAATATTTAGCAGACATAAGGATTTTTTCTTCTCATGTGAGAAATGTAGCTATTATGACTGAGTATTTTAACTTCATCCCCCTCAAAAATTGGAGCCCTACAATGCTTTTAAAGTGTGCAGTATACATGTGCAGCATACTTTCAGTCAGCACTTTTCTGTAATTCATATCAGCATGACTGAGTAATTTAGAAAAATCGTATCTTGTGAACAAAGTTTTGTTAATACATGCGTTAAACAAAATAAATTTATAATAAAATTTCTCTGGTGAAATGTTGAGCAAAAATTTTTTCTCCCTTCTAAATAAAATTTACTTTTTAACATTAACAACAGATTGAAAACAAATAAAATGAACTGCAAAATATTTGATTATAACTTTCCAATCATAGAGAAATATATGAATAATACATTGAAACACTAAACCACAAACTTTTAAGTAACAATAAAAAAAAATAGAAATTTTCCAGCAGCGACCACATAAAAAATATGCACAACTGTATTTATAGAAATAATTAAAAAGACGAAAACTTACAGTACCACCAGCAGCTCCACGATATGATGCAACACTAGCACTAGGTTGTGGTACATCCGACAAAAGACCAGCACGAGCAGAATGAAACATCATACTAGCAGCACCTTCAGTTTCGATGATATTCGTTGATACGGCAGGACTCTGTTTAATGGCAGGGACTGTTTTGTTTATGATTTCCTCATCTTCTGCAGGAGGGTTGTCATTCTGTATTGGCATTTTATTGCAAAATCATCAAAAATTTCTGAAATGTTGAAAAAGTAATTTATTAATTAATCAAAAATTTCTGAAATGTTGAAAAAGTAATTTATTAATTATAACTAAAAGTAAATATTAAATGTGAATACAAAAGTAAACTTTATAACCATACTATCATTGATTAACAAGAAATATAAGTTAATAAATAATTTTGAAGATTTCTTAACGGTATCTGCACCAAAATAATTGGCAAAGTTTAGGCGATGGCTCGCAATAAACTAAAAAGACTTCACAGAAAATTATACATATACTGCTCTTATACTTGGAATAAATTACATAAAGACTTGCAAAGAGGTAGCTACAAGTTTTAACCTTTGAGTTTACCTAATTTGCTTTGTTTCTGAAAATCCATTATTTGGACATCGCCAAACCTTCAGGACTATTTAAGTACAGGTACCAATATGGAAATCTTTTTCTAATCATATCAGAAGAAGTACTGTCAATAAATTACTATTAATAAATGTTTTTTACATCATATCTTTATATGCATGAAACATAAAGGCACCAAAGTATGAGTTATAAAATTTGAATACTAAATTATACCTCAAGAAATATAGCTGTAAAGAAATTTACTTTAAATAAAGATTTTCGTATCAGTACCTGCTTTAAAATAATCATCCAACTTTCAGGCAATCACACAATCAAAACTAAAAAAAATAGTTCTCATAAGAGGACAAACTGGGTATAACTCATAGCCACCCCTAGGTGAATTAACAAATATTTATTTTTTTCTAATTATGAAAGGGTAAAAATTGATTGGGATTGTCCGCAGTGCAAACAGATGCCAATACAGATTACAAACAGATACCAATACATTATTCCATTTTATAAAATCACAAAATGTTTTTATAAAGAATTTTTTGAAAGGAAATTAATATAAATTTGTCAGATTTATTGGGTTAAGAATTTATTTAAAAAAATCACAAAAATAATTCAAATGAATTTCAGTAGCAGAACAAATCTATTCTTTTAGTAAAATGCTCTTATTTCATACAGATGTCACATTTATCTTAACAATAAATTTATAACATCAACTAAATAATTCTTTTTACTACGATTTCAAGCAAAAAATATGTGAGTAAAAATGAATATAAAACTAAATTATTTACTTAAACTTATAAATTGTTTTGTAGAAAACAGATTATTGAAACATTCATTATGATTAATTCTACGATGTCTAAAAATGCAAAGGAAAATAAATAAAATATTTACTAAAATGAATCCGAAACTAAACATAACGATACAAATTAAATATGCAATCATGCAAAACAATAGCAAGGAGATAATGCACAGACGATACTGTATAAAATAACGGGAAATATAAAATAGGTTCTAACTCCATACATTAACTACTTTAAACTTACAAGGTCTGGTATACAATAAGTAATAAAAATTAATAGTTATTTCCAACAAGTTGTTGTGTTGCGCATAACAACTACGACTGGTTTTAAAATATATGCACAATTCATATAAAAAATAGAGTTGCAATTTTAAATTCGTTATTTTTATTATATCAATTTCAGTTGTCGTATATTAAAATTTAATATTATTGCGTTTTCCTTACACAAAATATAAACAGAGTAACGATAGGTGAGCAGACGGATAAAAACAAATTTGCGCGGTGGCAACCAAAAGCCGAATGACATCAGTCAAAGTCGCAGTGAAGTCTTTTATTTCTTAATGATTTTAAACAGTCATTCTCGCTGCGTGCAAATGTTTCGCATATGCAAATTCAAAGATGCAAACAAGAACCTATGGATGGTTGCCCGTGTAAAGTTAAGTGCAGATGAAGCTGGAGGGAGGATCAAAATTCGCCGCAAGACTTCCGAATTACTACTTCCGACTGATTTTTACCCCTTAGCTTGAAAAAACATGCCCTCCAATATTATTATTGCTTTTTAGAAGGCTTGTTATCATTTACATTCAACCAACGAGCAATTCACGAGTTTTTTTGGGGGAAATATAATCCACCAATCATTCCTATCACCGAATTCGCAAGCTCGAAATTATAAACAAAAAATTACCATTTCTTTTTTTATTTTTGTAAGCCGGAATAGCCTGGCTGGTAGGGCAGAAGGCCCGTGTACGAGAGGTCGGAAGTTCGATCCCGAACACCTGAAGACTCCCAGTGTACAAAATGATGACTGGTGCATGCTAAATCTTTCAAGGTCACAAATTCCTCCAAGTTCCCATACCATAACCATTCAATACCTCTCGGAGTACTGGATCAGGGATTGATCATACAGGACAAAATTACGATCTGTGTATGGATACTCCTTTTAAGGGAGTCCGCATATATAAATCTTTATCAAGATTGTAGCATTAGAAAAAAATAATGAACCATTTTTGAATGATTGTTAAGGAGACTCTTTAAATGAAAAGGACCTCAGATGCGCTTTGTTTTTGGAGAAAATAAAATTTATATAAGTAGCTGCACTAATTGATAAGAAATCTTATAATTTCGGAGTTCAAAAACAACATACAGTAGAAGCAAAGAGAAACAAATTTTTTAAAAAGGCATAATTTATAACTTATTACTAGACGAAATTTATGTTAATAATTGGGATTATTAATACAGTAAGACATGGGGACGAAAATAATGCATCACTTTTTAAGACAGGTTAGTTGTTTTAGTCAGCACACAGCCTGAAAATACTTTAATTTCGGCAGGTCTAGACCACCCCAAAATTATCGTCCAGATGAAAGATTCGCAAAGCGTAGTTTTGGAAGAAAAAAATACATTGCTTCACTTTTTCTCCAACATGAACAAGCAATTGCTGTCAATTTTATTATCTAAATATTGTAATTTTTTTAAGGAAAATTCTATGGTTAACATGATTTGCAGTATTGTTAGTCAATAAATTTTTCATATTTAATTTAAGACAGGCAGGTCTTAATCATCTGAAAATAATGATATAATCATTTTGTTTTTTCGCTTTTGTGTGTTTTTTTTTATGTGAATTCTCAAAATCAACATTTGTTAAGATATACCTGATTAGAAATACTTTAAAACTAGTACGTACATACTATTCTTACTATTCAAAAAAAGAAATTTTTTGATACTTTGTGACTTTATTCTTTTCAATGGACCAAAATAAAGTCCAGAAATTTACATGAACAAATTCTTTATTTTTGTATATTTGAATGAGTCTATTCAATGAAGCGTAGGAGTAACTTTTCAAATATTAGAAAGTTAGATCAGAAACACTTACAATTTCACAAAAGTGTGGCTTACTCTTAGTTGGCAGAGGAGATGCTGGTTAAAGATGAAGAAAACTTAACCTAACAGTTGTGAAAAAACTGTTACAAACTCACAACAATCATAAAAATAGCAATAAATTAATAAAAATAGACAGCAATTTTCTACTACAGAGAAAAGTAATCAGTTCAAAATTTATCTAAAAAATTATAAGTCTGAAACGTTTAGTGAAAAATACATTAAAATTTCTTCAAGTTAAAGGATGTTATGGCTTACTTTGAGTATGTGACAGTTTCATCTCATTCAAAAAACGAAATACTATGTAGAAACATCCTCTCCCCCTGATACTTTTATAACCAGGAAAACTATTTTCACTATTTCTGCCTCTAAAAACTGGGGAGAAGAATTGGTTTCTCACGCAGAGATAAAATACATGGCTTTTCTATCTAAAATTTGTTTTGCTTTTAGAAGATGATTTCATTATCTAATAACATGGGGAAACTGTATGTGCTTAACATTGAATGCTAATTGAAAAGCAAAATTTTTTTGCATGTGTGGATGTCACAAGGAAAAACTAATTTAGGTGATAATCTCTTTTCAATAGTAATGATAATAACAATAATTATATATTAAAAATTGAGCATTCCTTGTTTCATTAATTTAATTTACCACTGCATTAAAAAAGTATTAAGATTTCAGATTCTTTTATAGTTATGAAGATTCATGCATGGTTTTACAAAAAAATTGAAAACACAATAATTGTACATAAAATATTTATTTTTTAAACAAAAGCAGTAACCTAGAAGATACAAAAGTAGTAAAATGCTTCATCATATTTTTTTTTTACATCACGAAATATTACAAATAACAAAAATTCTGTCTTGTAAAGATAGGGCCCGCTTTTCATACAGTTATATTATAGGTTAAAAAAATTTGAAACTATCAAAAATATAATATAGGTAATGAAAAAAATGAATAAAATAAATTAAGAATGCTATAACAGAGATAGATATAAATCAAGAAGTAAAGTAACAATATTAATTCTAAGTACAAATAAATATTTTTAAATTTGCAATTTTATTTTATTGTTCCAGGATGCTTAATTTGTGAATTGTAAGGATTTACAAACACATACACACACAAACATATATATATTTGGTAATTTCAATTTATTCATATTCTTTAACGAAATTAATAATGCTGCTCGCAATGTGCTCCCACTAGTTACTAAGATCAGACGTCGAGTTTAATGAGATAACAGTAGTGTGGGGCTATGCTGTGCCAAACTTAGGAGAGAAACCCTATGGCATTACGTAATAAAAAAAATAACATACTTAAACAGTAATAGAATCTAACTGTTTTACAAAATTGAAAAAAAAAATAGTAGATTGGATGTAGAGTTCAATGGCAAAGTAACTAAACTCAGCAGCGCGACAGCCCATAGAGGGCCAAGGCCTACTGTGCCCATCTCAGTTTTCTCGACCATGGGCTCTGGGGTGCAGGAGCAGATGTTCCGGTTCGGTGGTCAGCCGAACGCAGAACCCCCAGTGTTTAGTTCCCAAACATGCTTGGTATTCATTTATCGACCCACTGAAGGGATGAAAGGCTGAGTCAACCTTGTCCGGTCCGAGGATCGAACCAGGGACCTGTGGCACAACAGCGCGAAGCGCTACCGCTCAGTCACCGGGCGTCATGGCATAGTAACTAGATATGACTATATAATGTACCAAATACAATTATTATAAAATCAATGTAATTAAATTGTATGATGTTACAAATTCAGTTTGATGCAAAAATAAAAGATGCAAAATGAAAAGAGAAAACATCACTAGCTATTTATGGGTCAGAGGAACCCCATTTTATTGAAGCAAGTAGTTCTCGGTAGAAAAAATTACACAAAACTATCTACGTGACAATGAAGAAGATTGAATATTTTCGCAAGGTGAAAAAAAAAATATTCAGTTGAAATTACTTAGAGGGAAGACTTATTTAAAGATTTGATAACAGTCATGACAGGTAGTTGTTAAAGGCATACGCATTTTCCTTTTAAAAATGACAGCTTTGAAATTTTCAAAATTAGCCAAAAGAAATTTCACGCAAAGAATTAGTTTTTTCTTAATTTGATATATGCTGTTTTTTAGTGATGCTTACTTTATGGCTAACTTGCTAACTCAAAATAAAATATGATGTTAGAAATTATGAAATTTTTATTTTGAAACAGGATATAGTGAAAACAATAAATAAGAAAGTTTAGCTATTTACACAAACTACAGTCTGTTGCTACAGATGAAAAATAGCTACTATGATCCACATAATCATGCAATAGATAGACATAAAAAACGACCGTACCTTGACTTAAAAAAATGCGTTATTTACATACCACTATGAAGTATATTTTAATAATTTTACAAATATAAATATTTTTAGTATTCTATGAGACTTTCGGATTCAATAACTGATTTATTAAGAGCAAACATATGAATAAAAAATTTGTTTGTTTCCAAGATATGAACACAAAATTTGTTGCTTATTTTAAATAATTTTAATATCTCAATTCAACCTAATAAAAAATATGTTATGATAAGATTGTCTACCAAAAACTTCTGACAATCTTATACAAGGAGCATTAACAATCACTGTTTTTGTTTGCCTTGTATCAGTAAGAAGGCACTCTACCTGCGATTGTCAACTTTAATGTCCTATACTTAAAATCAAATGACTTTAAATCAGTTTTATGAATAAATATTCAATAGGCTTCCTAAAAAATCGATGAAAATTACTGGGATAAAAACATTGAATGAAGCACAAAATTACAAAAAGTTTACATTCCTTATAACATATGCTAAATACAAAATATGAATCACTCAAGAATTTACACCTTTATAAATTATTTTGAAGTCGAAATTGAAGTCTTAAATCCATTTAAAACATATTACAAGTGTCCCAAATTTAGAAAACAAAATCAATGTTTCCTTAGGAAACTAACTTAAAATCTTCTAAAAACCACAGTGGAAAATAAGATAATTTTAAAACTAGCATAATTTTAAACAATCAGTTCAAATAGTCAGAATTTATATAACCTAAATTTGCTTTCCATTCTTGCAAGAAATATACAGAAAGTTAAAATCAATAGAAATATATGAAATTAAAAACAATTGTACTAAATTTAAGCAATAGCAATATGAGTTTTAAATGTAAATTTTCATTACATAGAGAAATAACTAATTTATTCTAAAATCGCATATATGGTATATTTTCCTTTAAATAATGTTTAAATGAATCTCCCATCACAATTCTTAATCATAAGAATTCTGTGCGTAACAGATTTAACAATGGAATAGCTGGGGAAAAAGAGGTATAATTATAGCTCACTTTCATAACTTTTGACCATTATACTTTAACAAGAATTTTTTTACAATTCATGAGACATTGCCAGGTAGCAGGAAAGAGTAAATGTGCTCCCGTAATTTTTGATCAATTTTGCTTTACATTTCTTTCAGTAAAAGTTGAAAATTTATCATATTTAACATTAGATTAATAAGGGATAGAATAAAAAAGTTTAATAACAACTACAAAAGTGCATTTTGAAAAAAATAATTCACATTAGATTTTCGTAATTCAAGTGTAGGCAAGAATGGTGCTAAATTGAGCTAACTTCAAAATCTATAAGTTGCTATGTCTAAACTCAAATGGGTTAAATCCCAGTGCTGGTAATAAAGCTTACCAATTTCTTATAATGTCAATATATCATGTTTAGATGAAGTAAAGATATAGTACGATGATGATTATCATAAAAAAATAATAATTAATATGTATATATTTAAGGTTTATAATTAATTTCGCTGACTTGACTTCAGTATTATTTAAAGCAAAAACCCTCCTACATTGCATAATCATAAATAATAAATTAATATAAAATCTCTTACTTCTAAAAATTATTTTTGTTAATATTGTGAAACAATACTGAACTTTGTTTCATATTAACAAAGGTTTGTCATTGTTTCATATTCAGGCCAATATTCAGTACTTAAAAAATGTGGTTTAGGAAATATGTTCAAAACATTGAGAACAAATTATTAAAATAGGGAGACCAGTATAAACAAAGTTATGTTTCAGAGTAACTGTTCAAAAAGATACAATTTGTTCGTTAAGCTCATAACAATAAGAAACATAAGAAAATATCTTTATATACAACAATGAATTTATACTATGCATCTAATATCATTGTTTAAAATTGTTATATTTAAATATATCTATAAATATGCAACTTCTCTCGAGATTTTTGCAAATAAATGCATAGATTTCAATAGCTATTTTACTCTAAATTCATATTCTTACTCCACTAAATATCTAGGATTTAATATTAGATATAAATTACTTTTGAAATAAATGAATGAATTAATGATCAAAATAATATAAAGAATCTGTACAGAAGTGCCAAATTATTATCTACCAGCTACCGAGAAGATATAAACACAAATTCTTGAGTATGTATGTCAGTAAATACAAATACAGTAAGCATTCCCTTAATCAGACGGTTCATAAGTTAATAATTTAGTGAGAGAAGTAAAATAATTATATTAAAGAACAACCAATAGATAAATAAGTAAAAATTAATATTTTTTTGAACAGAAATATTTTTTACTAGAAAATGTGCATATTTCTGACAAGAAAGATGATCATTTTAATAAATGATATATTTTTTATGTATGATAAAAATGTTGTATCTTTATTTTCTGAATAAATGTACAATTCGATTGTGAATTGTATAAGAAATGGAAAACCAAACTTAATAAAACATTTTAAATTGAGGCATAATAGAATTTTTCTGCTATATTTTTGAAAATTAAAATTTGAATTCTGACACAAATTTTATTCGTTTGAGCAAATCCTAATTATTGCTCAATTTCAATAGTTTTTTCGGTTTATTTAAGAGCAAATAACATAATTTTTTTTATAATGAATGGAATATTTGAAATGTGCATACAACACATTGTACGTTAATGAAAATTCAATTGTTAGTTTTAACAAAACCAAGCAGTCTGTAGTGTTATTAAATTATACAGTGATTATACAATTTAATAATGAATTTCTGCAAAAAAGAAACAATAGGATATCAGAAACATCAGATACAAATTCATAGCATTTATTTCTTTGGTCCTAACTTTGTTGTGTCCTCTAGACAGGCGTATCAAAAGGTGTTATGAAATTAATCTAATGTGAAAAAAAGAAGAAAAAAAAGAGGAAAGATTCCAGGTTAACCCCAGGGTCATGGATATAGATTCAAAATATTCTAAAAATTTTTTTAACTTCAATGTACACATTGCTGATGATTAATTATAATAGTGATTTGGTGCAGCAATACTGTTTTAAGAGGATGCTATACCATGGGAAAAACGTTTCCTGGCAAATTCTGTTTCACTTTCATCAGCATTTTAAAATGAAAGTTTAGAGAAATGTGAGTTCAAGTAAACCAAACTATGAAGTTTCAAATGCTGAAAAAATGCTTTTAAAATATTAAAACACAAACGAATTATTGTAGGATAATTTCCCCATGGCATATTCATAAGAAATTTTGATATTTTGCAAACAAAAATCATTTCAGCTTTAGAAACGTAATGGTTTACTCCAAGTTTACCTATACTCACGTTTTCTATGCATAAAATGTTAAACTACTTATGTGGGTAAAAGAGAATTTGAGATGAAAAGTTTCTAAAATTTTGCTTCACCTTGATAATATTACATATGTTTGGTGAAAACATGCAATTACATGTTTCTGAAGTAACTAATTTGACATGTTAAGGTCAAATATAATACATAGTTCATGATTATTTGACTATGATATGCTTTATTTTCCGAAGTTGATTATGTCATTTTAATTTTACAAAACCAGCACTTTCTCTTTACTTTTTTAAATTTTTAAACTTCATTTCAATTGATAACTCACTAATAAAGAAAGCAAACTGTATTTATGTTTACCTAAAGAAAAATTAAGGTTTTCATAGCTTTCAGTAACTTTTAAATAACAGTGTTATATGTCAGAATATTTAGAAGTCTTTTAGACTTAATATATTTGGTTGTTCTCCCTAACAAAAAGTTCATACTGTATTTATGTTTACTTCTAACTACACAAATATTAATAAAAAAACATTTAAACATATGATATGCATAATTAACGTACTTGAAAAGTACAAGTCAATACTTTATACAGAAATCTTTTCATTTATTTAAAAACAAGAAATTACAAACAAAGTAATTCGGTCTAAAAATATTAAGTAAAACTTTTATTTAATATTTTTTTTCTTCTTAGAAGAAATAGAATTAAGTTTTAAAAATTCAAACTTCACAAAAGCACTTCACAAGCACCAACATAAATATTTCATGAGATTACTAAAAGGACGGACACGATTAAATGCAATGGTAGAGAACAAAGCACATTTGTTTTGAATATTGAAATGCATATTAAAGCTCATTATGAATGAAAGTTTTGTTACATGTTGTTCCATGACAAATATTCCGCTTTTGTTGAAAAGCTGGATGCTGCTTCACATGATTCATTAATTTCTTAAAAATTCGCAGAAACTCCTTCACATCAAATGAATAATTAGTAAACTTTGCATGAGCTCCTAAAGTGGGATGATGACCCTAGGAATTAAAATACAATTAATTTTAACAAAAATAATATAAGTGCTATTTAGAAATAAATTGCTTTAAGGGGTCACAGTACCCAAAAGATGACAAAAATACCAATTTTTTTTGTATTGCTTATAATAAAACTTCAAACTATTTCAAATGCACTGAAAAAAAAATCATGTCCCTATCTACATTTTTGAAAAAGTTATGAATGATTTTAGATTGTCCTAATACAGAATCTTGCTCTGCAGACAAACTTTAAAGGGCTTTTTCTCATAAATGATAATTTTGTGTCTTGATCTTGATTAAATCCCTAAGGAATTTTTTTCTATTTAAGATAAAGCTTTGAAGTAAACTTTTTTATCTTAAGTATAATACACTTATTTAAACTATGCATGGAATAAGCATTTTATAAGGTATTAAAATTTTTACAGCATGTTATATATACCTAACAGGAATTTTTACCCTTTTTTTCTACTTTTTTACAAAATATTTTATAAAAAATACTCTAATTGATATATCAATGAAATGCACAAATGAATGCACAAAATAGTTAAGAAGAATATTGTGAGCACTAAGAAAAAAAATTTTTGAAAAATAAGTTAAAATAAAAAAGCCTTAGGGATTTAAAAATTTTGAATTTTTTCAACTTTTTTTAAAATTTTAAACATTTTAATTGTTTTTTGAAGATAAATTATTGATTATAAGTTAAATAAGCATGTAAAGCATTCTCAAAATGAATGATTATACCCCTTTATTTAAAAAAATTGTTGCCAAGTTGCTGTAACCCCTTAATAAAAAATAAAATGCATTCCAGTTAAAATCAAACTATTTTAATCATATTAAATGCACGACATGGAAAAGCAAATTATTTTAATCAGAAAAAGTTCACCAAACCAAATTTATTTCAGTTAACAAGAACAGAACCTATACCTATTAGATAAAAATAATATAATCACATTTTTTTTTTTTTTGTTTAGTATTCCATTGAGTTTCTAAAAGTTAAAAAAATTCACTATATAAGAGGGGGGGAATCATAAATAAATAATAATGCAATAATTCTCGATTTGCAGTTTTTCTTTTACACTAAATCTTCTGTTAGATCATGTGATTTTATAAACAGTCAAAAATTAAGGTTTCTGCAAAAAATTAGAATTATTCCAGCTTTTGTATTTGCAGAAAGTCAAAGTAAACTAAAATTATTAATCATAATTGACAATAAGATTTTTATAAGAAAAATTATAATTAAGTTCAAACACATTCTTAGTAGTGGAAAATAAATTAGATAAGAAATTTTTTTTTGCTGACTTTTTACACCCGCAAACAATAAACTATTTTTAATAAATCAAATTTAAAAAAAAGTTTTTATTATTACAATGCTAGGCAGCTTGTGAAATTTGTTAAAATATAAATTTACACTAGATAAGGCACTGACTATAAAATAGAATACCTAACCATCAATGCAACTGTCTGTTGATTAATTTTTGATACATTTCTTTTACATTCTTTTTTAAATTATAGATGCTTAATTCTAATAAAACATGAATAATTAATAACCACTATACTGCAGTTACAAAGCTGAAGTGAATATCAACATATACATAATAGCTTGAAATAATTAATTGGCAAGCTCTTAATATTTTTAACAAAAATATGACACAGAAGTAAATATATGAAGTTTTAAAATGATATAATTGAAAAGCAAAAAAATTTTCACCTCATCTTCTGGATAAAGTTTATCCAATTTTTCCCATGTCAAATATTTCAATCCTTTTAGTCTTGCTAAATCAGCATAACAACTTTCGTCTTCACAATTAAATCTAAAAACAAAGATTAGATAAAAATGTGTCTCTGAATAGTATTCAAAAAGGTATTTTTGGTAAGGACTCTTAATAAATTTTAAAATTATTGAGCTAAATACAGTGAAACATATCAACTTAACCTCTGCTTAAATTGATCTCTATTATCAAAAACTAAATTTTTCCCTTATAATAAAAGAACAAAATCTTTGTAACCTGGCTACCTTATATGCTGACTGTTAATATAGGTCTAATTTTTCCAGTGGTGTTAATGAAAGCCATTCTGAACCTTGCTTAAATTGAGTGCACTTCTTTAATATTATGCTAAAAATTGAAATTGCCCTAAATTAATGAGATAGTAATTAAAGCTAACTTATACCTTTTTGTGAATTGACCATGTAGGACACTATTGAGAGCTCATAAATGCTTGGAAGGAAATTAAATTAATTTTAATAAGTAAAGGTTTCATTGGAGTAGAAAATTTTAAACTTTAAACTCAACTACATTTTCAAATACTCTATAAATGATTATTGTTTCAATGTAGGCATTTACACTTCCAATTCATAAAACCCATTTTGATATATAAATTTACACTGATACAACAATAACAGTATAGCTCATTTCCATTTCCAATTCATAAAAGCCATTTTGAAATATAAATTTACAATGATACAACAATAACAGTGTAGCTCTTATTATGGCTGAATACTTTCTTTTACACATAAATAAAAAAAAAACTTACATTTCAAAAACAGATCCCCATTCAGGCATAAATAGCATATGTGTCAGCCCAGCACCATGTATGCCAATTAAAATGTCTGTGTTATAAGATATCTAAAATGATTACCTTTTAGATTAGTAAATATTAAAACTTATCATTTTTACAATTTTTTTACTACATGCATAAGTATATCAATCATTTTAGATAAAAATAAAAGTAGCAAGAAATATTTCGAATAATTGTTTGCATTCATAAGATTATTTTTTCAATATAATTATTGTAAATAGTATTTCACAATATAAACACCGTCACTGCACTTGCATGGGTGCTTTGTAATCACCACCTTTAATATATATTTTCTTCTGTAGTGGACACCTTGAAAATTTCACTTAGCATAGCAAATTCCAAGGGTCTTTCAGACCTGTCCTGGGTGCTCTACCATCCAAGATTCACCAGAACATATTCTTGATCGGCTCACAAAACATGTTCTTTATGAGCACCAACTCATTGACTTCTTGCGAATGTACATCATGAATTCAGTCTAGCTCAGCTAAACATGGCATTTAGCAACAGCAACAACATATATTTTTAAAATCCTCAGTGAAAAAGCATTCACATTAGAGTGGCTGAAAATTAATATCAAAACAAAAATGTTCTAAAAATTTGACAAATAATTAAGGAAGAAGGGGTGATTAAAATCAGTTCAAAACTTTTTTCATCTCCTCTTTTTCTAACAACCAAACAGGTTTGGATTTTTTTTTTAATCATGCTTTTCTTGTTAAGATTTATCAAGTTCAGAGAGTTGGATTTTTTTTTATCATTTAATTATAAGTAATTTTTTCAAGATATTAAAAATATCAATAAAAGGCAGTGATTAAAGAACACCCAGTATATTTTGTACAATACTATTCTATAAAAAAGTTACATCGTACATCAAAATGAAATGTATGCTATCTTGATGTGCTTTTTAGCTCCTATACAACAATTTTGAATATATTTTAGGATAAGAATCAATTAATTTATTTAATTATGAGAAAGCAAAAGAGAAAATAAAGTGCAAGTTAATTCTGAAATAAATATTTAAAATTTTAATTAAATTTTTCAGATACATTACAATTATGAGAAAAAATAAAAACTTAATCACTTCACCATAAAATTATTAATTTTTATTCAATATTTATCTTAATTTTACACAGCCATACTAACTTATATAAATTAATAAAAATGCTTTTGCATTTATGTATACTGGCTATCTGTTCACAAAAATTAAAAGTTGCATTTATTGACAATATAGTTTTTTGTCTAAATATCAAGCACAGAAAAAAATATATATTTATGTTTAAAATGCTGATAATAGGAATAAAGAGTAGAACTAATTTCATTTATAAAATATGAAGCAAGTCATAAGCAATTTTTCTTACTTTAAGCTGTTCAGTAAAGGACATTTGTCGATTGAAATTAACTTTTTTGACCAACAATTCTGGATAAACTTTCAGTGAAGAAATAAGCTGGAAGGGAAAGGAAAAAAAACGTTTAAAAAAAAATCCATTTCATGGGAAACAATAGATACCTTTATACAGAATGTCTCAAAATTCAAGCAAGAAGAAATTTTGATAGAATCATAGGTTTTTAAATATAAATTATGGCTTTTTTATGGTCATAAAGTATATAGTATAGGGTTATAGATAAAAAGCATCTAAGCTAAATGACTTCCTCTGTTTTGCTGGTGCATATGCACATATTTTTTAAATGTCTAGACATAGCAGAATTTTACAGAGCTCAGTATTTACCTTTCAGTCCCAGATGCTTATGAGTCTTAAACTTAGACATTAAAAGTAAAAATAGTTTCTATCACCATTTTTTTTCCACCAAAATCAAACATTACATCATTAGGGAAGAATTAGCACTCTAATTTTATTAATCCTGAATCATCAGCCATTTTATCTCTCTCTGTCTCTTTTTCTTTTCTTAAATAGGCAATATTTAATTACACAAATGGTTAAAACTCAAATCTTGGGTGAATTTTGGGATATCTTTAAGTTGGAAAAAAAAAAGTAAAAACATTCAACAACCTCATCTTCATTCAGTATTCGTCTGTATTGAGTACTTCTTGAAATGAGTGTAACCCTAATTTTTGAATCCTAGAATACAAAACCACTTTTCAGTTTGATGTAAAACATTTGTAATCGGAAAAAAAATTATAAGATAATATATCAATTGTTAAAAAATATAAGACAAAACAAATTTTTGATAATATTTTAAATTTCATTTAGTATTTGTTTAGGATAAATTAACTTTGATTTAGGAGGAAAAAATATTTTTTCACATTATAATAATTTAAAACTTTGCAGAAAATTAAAAAAATACAGCAAATTACTTGGAAATGTACAATTAAAATTTTTGCAAAATGTATTAGATTATGCTCAATTTTATGAAAATAAATTTAAAGTTTTTAATTATTGTTCCTTCTGAAATCATAATACTTCTGTAATATTTTGAACACATCATACAAATTTAGCATATTATTTCTTATACTTAGAACAAATAAATATCAAATAATAATTATTCCAAAAATGTGGTAGAGGTCTTTTGAAATATCTTAATAAAATACAAAATATTTAATGGAGTTTAAAAAATAACTCACAGCAAAAAAATATTTATAATAATGCACTTACAAAAAATAAATCAGGAATTTGCAATCTGTGCTTGATATGTTGAGCAAATGCACGAAACAAACCACTACCTTGACAACCAGGTATCTAAAAAATTTAATAATAATTAAAAAGCATAAAAATTAACGTTTGAAAATGGTACAGAATGATAGATGATAGAATACTAAAAGCAATATACGTATTTTAAAAAGGTAAGCTTGGAAAAAAAGCATTGGAATTTTATTCATATTAATAACTACCTTCACCAAAAAAAAAAAAGTTATCTGCCAATAAATTTCATTACTTTTCACATATAACAAAGGGGTTTATTTTATGTTTGTTAAGTGAGTATGAAAGATATGTATTCAGAAAAAAACTTAATACAAGCTTATCAGGTGCAAAATGAATAACATAAAATAACATGAATAAAGCATAAATAAAGGTACAGAAATGGACATACTATAGTTCTTCATACTATAGTTCAAGAATCTTCCTCAGTGTCTAAACATAAAATGCTAAAAAGCATTTTATGTTTCTGACTCTCTTATGATTTTATGTTTTAGACTCTGATCTCTTATCCCTCTGATCTTAAATTTGCTGCCCCTCTAATAGTGTATTCTAAATCGATTGGGGAGTTGATTAAAATGAAAAACTTTTAATCTCTTAGCACAATAAATTTATCTATTATTACTTATTTACAATTATCGTATATTTGAAAAGCTTTGCATATTAACCCTGACTACAACATAGTCAAACTTGTACAGCATTGTCAATTAATTTGTTTTAGCCTACATGTAAAAAAGTATTATAAGTGTCCAGTTATTCTTGATATTGGATCAAATTTGATTATTAGGTTAATAAATGCAAGTACGAAATAAAATGCATTCAATATTAATATATAGAATAAAATACATTCACTATAATATATAGAATAAAATTCAAACATTAAAATAAAATATATTCAATATTGAATTATTTTAGTGGTCTGTAAACTGTTTGATATTTTTATAGCAAATTTGGTACTTACTAATGGCATATTGTAATACATTCCAAAAATCATTCTGGGTAAAAGAGGAAAAACCACATCTTTAAAACAAACCTAAAACATAAAAAATTCTACTCTTTTTAAATGAATAAGAATATTTTTCTAATATAACGGAAAATTCATTAATTTATTGTAAATAAAATTCAGTAGCATTTACATATTTCTAATAAAACTTTTAAAATTATTTTCAATAAAATATTGTTAATTGTAAACATGTTATTTTGTTTACACTGTGCTAGAACAGTATTTAATTAAATAAATATAATATAAATGACAAAGAGTTAACAAAGATATGTTATCTTTTAAAGTATATAATTATTAAAAAAAAGAATGCTTAGTTTCAGATTTTGAAACTATTCTCTTGTTTTAATGTGTTGAATTGAAATCTTATTTTCAATTTCAGATCTTTAAAATCTTGTTAAACCTCATATGCATCTAAGTTTGTAAATTTTCAATGATTTCTAGTGGCTTTTTAGACTTACTATCTCAAAATACATGGTTTATTTTATCAATATGCTAAAAAAATAAAGTTACTCATGCATTTTGGTTGTATCTAGCAGACACAACTGACACACTATCGAAGGTTTGGCGCTATTTCTCATACGAAGTCTAATCAATAATAGGATAGATTTAGATTACATACTTTACAAATTTGGAACTATAAACTGCAGTATTTTTATTTCTCCCAGAATAAAAATTAGAAATCAAACTTTTATTAATTACTATAATTGTTTTTCAGCAGCATGCAAATAGTAACAAAACTAAAAAATTCCCCACCTTCGCAATAAAAAATATTTTTTTAAAACAAGTTTAGTGCAGTTTTGTGTAAAAAGTCTGTTCAACAGCAAAACTTACTGAGAAATTTTATTTTTAGATCACAGAATGTAAAACATTTTTGCCCATTAACAGTTTTAAAGTAGGTTGTAAACATTTAGAATGACTTGTGGAATTTAGAACAGACATACATAAAACACAACTGCAAAATTTATGCTTATGTAAAAAAGAAAAATTAAAAGTCATTTTAAATTTTTTTGCAGAATTTTACAGGGTAGTGATTCAAATTAGTGCTTAAAAATAATTAATTGAAAATTCTTCATATGATTTAAAACTGGAAACATGATGGTAAATTCACAAGCAAAACTAACATTTGATAACTGTAACACTTCAGCAAATAAATTAAAATGTGACAATGAACTAGAAACAGATACCAAGGACACCATATCTAACAAAATGAACAAGGACAATAAGATAATTATGCTTTTCTCACCCTTTTACCCTTCAAGCTACCAAGATTCATCAAGGGATGCTGAGTGAATGCTTTCCAAACTGGAGCAAAATTGCTCATATAAGGAATCTAAAAGAAAGCAAACAATTATAAACTACAAATTAAAAAAAAAAACAATGCTTGATTTGAATTTTAAATAAAATTAAAATATTTACAGTATCCCATATTAGTATCTGCACATCAGTTGAGAATGTCTGATTCATATGTAAAGTGGCATACAAATTCAGAAAATCACAGAAGTGGTGGTACATATTTACAGCTAGAGAGAAAAAAGAAAAAATTATTCATTCAGTAGAATAAAATTTTATTTTGCAATTCACCATGCACTGCTGATATACAAATATAATGCATAGTTTTCAATGCTTAAATCTATAACTTCGCATGCAAGTAGGTACATACTCAGAAAAACATGCATTCATTATAATTAGTAATGTTTAGTATATAAAGTTAATTAAAAAAGTGATAAAAAGGAAGAAAATTAAAATGGATAAATAAATAAAAAATATCAATAAAAAAAAGCAATTTTCTTAGAATAAAAATAGTAAACACCAAATTTTTTTTTAATCAGCAATGCATTTTTACTCTGGCAGATTTTTATGAAAACATTTAAAATGTTTAGCCCCTAACATCTTAATTTATTATAGGTATATTTTGTTCACTTGAAATATATATTGAAACTTTTAAGTTATAGACTAATTTTACAATAAAAAATAATTCATAAAAAATACAACATAAATTGAATTTTGCAAATAATTTTTTAGTAGAAATTTTTTTAAGTGGTATTAAACTAAGAACAGTCCTATTCCAGAAAAATTAACGTAAGGGTTTTTTGTCAACTAATTTTATTGGTGAAATTTCCAGGAAATGAGTCAAATTGCAACAATAAAGCAGAAACGTTATATAAGTCACAGATTTGACAATCTAATATGAATTCAAATCCAGCTAATCGAAAGAAAAATAATTACCTGCATCTAATTTCATTATAAAAGTAGGCTGATTTATTATTATATCACATAGATTTTGGTCTTTTGGAAGCTCTGGTAGTTCTGTAAAATGTTCAAATTCAGCATACCTAAAATATTTAAGAATTCTAATATAAAAAAGTGGAATAATTCACATCATAGTCATTCAGTATTTTCTTAAATATTTTTTTACAATTATTAGTAATTAAGGTAAACTTTATTTCTTTCTTTACAAAAAAAAAACTTACTTAGTATTTCATAAAAATAGGTAAATAATAAGGTACCTGACACTTTGCACTAAACTATTGTTGTCATTTATCAGAACTCACATGAAACTAATTGCAGACATATGCCATGTTATTTGGAGATGAATGAAAAACAAAGAAGGATATTTGATTGTCGACAACAGGATTTTTAAAAATTTGATAAGAAACTGCTCTGCTAATTTAATTCTGTAGCTTCTAAATGCTAGAAGATTTATTTACGATGATTTCAACATTTAATTATTCATCTTTCTAGCTACTGTTTAAAATTGCTAAAAGAGGTTTGATGTAAAATATATATTACATTACGTTTAAAATATGCTACGCCTTTTTTCTCTATTAAAGGAAGCTGTTGGATAAAACCTGGATTTTTTCAAGCAATCATGACCAAGTAACCATATTTATCAATACTCTAAATCAAATTTTCTATAAGATTGAATACAGTATGGCAACTGCAAATGATGAAAACAAAAAGCTTGTGGAACTGCTGAGAAATATGATCAATGGGATTTTTGTTCTTAAATCAACTAGACTTACGATAAATGCCAAATATGTTCCTTGATTTTTTAACCTACTAACCTCATGCTTCCTACTTAATGAACAGAGGGCTATTTTAATCACGGAGTGTTCACTGTTCAACTTTACAAACAATTCTTTCATTTAAAGAATACTTATAGATAACCAAAAATTGATAAAAATGAGAGAGGCGATAAGCAAACACTTTTCTCCAGTCAAATTAGCCTTTTTGGAAATATTTCTCTTCTGCTGCAGATTGCCAATTTAGTTTAAATTGGCACACACACTCACTTCTAAATTAAGTCTAAAATCTTCAAAATTTGTTTATGAAACCAAATAGCTGGGAGTAGTGACACAAAATAGATAAGTAGATTATTTGTTTTTGAAAATTTATCTTATATGTAAAAAAAAAAAGTAATAATATGAGTAATAAATAATGGGAACCTGATAGAACAGTAATGGAAAACTATTAAAGATAAACAGAAACATCACAATGTTAATAAGATATTCATTTGATAATATAAAAACTACAATTGCTTCAAAAATTATTAATATGAAAAAAAGTCAACGTGTTTTGAGCAATGGATAATCGAACCCATTCTTAAGACAAAGGACAAATAGAGGAAAAACTGTTTTTTGCACAAGAAAAACATAAAATATTAGGTCCTAAGCAAGTAAAAAATGAAAAAATATTGCAGTAAAAAGTATTTAATGTAATATTGCCTCAACCATATTACCCGACACCACACCAAAGTCCTTTTGGTATCTTCCATATTTATTTTTACAAAGCAAATTATTTATAAAGAACTAGACAAAATACAAATATAACTTATTGCATGCAAGAAAATATTTAAAAATGAACAACATCCAAACTTATTTTCAGACTTTCAGAAAATGTTTGATAAAATAATATTTAAGTGCCATTTAAATATTTGTTTTAAACTTTAGCTATAAGTAAATTCAGAAGTGATGATAATAAAAGCAACACATTATTATTTTAATAACAATAAAATTCATAATATACTAAAACACATAATTTAAAAGAAAATTCAAGTAATTATTAAACCATGATGTCTAACACAACTGTCTAACACTTAGACATTAACAGTAAAAACATTTTTAAGTCCNAGACAAAGGTTAAGTTAAGATATTTGTTTTAAACTTTAGCTATAAGTAAATTCAGAAGTGATGATAATAAAAGCAACACATTATTATTTTAATAACAATAAAATTCATAATATACTAAAACACATAATTTAAAAGAAAATTCAAGTAATTATTAAACCATGATGTCTAACACAACTGTCTAACACTTAGACATTAACAGTAAAAACATTTTTAAGTCCCAGACAGAGTTTAGCAAGTGAAAAATACCACAATGTATACATTGACGATGAAATTATTAATAATAATTAAGAAAATACAAAAATACACAAATTTAAGTAATTAAAAAAACACACCATGATTGCAAAGGACTTTTATGCTGCCCTTGTTGCTTTAAAAGTTTTTTCTTCAATTTACAATGACCACCAACCTGTCCTTCTCTGATAACATCATCACGGTACCTAAGGAAAAATATAAATATAAATGATTCAATACTAGATTTTATAGATATTTTAAAGAAAAATTAAATATAAATTAATCAAATACCTCATTGGCTCTGGAATATCTTCCAAAGAATGAAAGTCAAACATTAGATATTTACCCCTGCAAAACCTCATATGCTGGGAGCATTCTAAATAGCTGGCATTCTACATAATGAGAAAACAAATTTAAGAGGTTAAAAGATGGAGTATTTAAGAGAGGTAAAATTATAAAGGTTTAAAAAATGTGGCACCTTGTGTTTTGTTGAACAAAGTACTTTCATCTCATTTAAACGATCTTGGATATATCCGAAATCTCCTTGGTGGAAAAAAATTTCTGATTGTTCTTTCTTAGACTTTGCCCTAATAAAAGACATAGTTTAATAAAAAAATATAATATTATTACTAAATTTCTTAATCTTTTAATCTGTTATCATAACAATAAAAAAGAAACGGACAAAAATGTACTTAAAAGTTAAATTGCATTTTATATATTGGGATAGAACAACAAAATAACCATTTTGGAGCAGATAAAACGTGTTTTGCAGCAATTAAATTTGATTTTTGATGATGACAGAACAGATGGGGACTTATTTCTGGTTTTTAAGAGACGGCTGCTATTTTTACAAAAATTATACTTTTATAGGGATCAAATGGCAGAAGCGACGGGCTTGTTTTTTTAATATCTATATATATATACATAGTACAGTGCAGAACCTCTTATCCGGAAATCAGAAAACCGGAAAACCAGAGAGCCGGAAATTAATTTTCTTCCATTAAAAAAAAATGTTTTTTCTTGCAAGATTTTGAGCCCATTTTGTTATTTAGAGCGTACGGCGTATCGAGTTGACGAAAGAACTGATTTAGAGNATAACCGGAATGAAATTTGGAACCGGAAATTAATTTTCTTCCATAAAAATTTTTTTCCCCTGCCAGATTTTGAGCCCATTTTGTTATTTAAAGCGTACGGCGTATCGAGTTGACGAAAGAACTGATTTAGAGGACGGATCAAAAGCCGTTTGTAGACGAATCTCACATAAGCACAAATAGCTTGTATATGTTATTAATGTTAATAATAACATTAATAACATATATAAGCCTGCATATAATTTTTATTTCATAATTTCTTTCCTTATTTAAACTTAAGTGTATTATTATTTATAATTTTTTATTATTTCTAAAACTATTTAAAAATAATTTTTTAGTTTCGTTTTATAAACATTAAAAAAACGGCATTTTGTAGCGATTCAGAAAACCGGAAAAAATCAGTTATTCGGAACCGCGATGGTCCCGATCGTTCCGGATAATCGGTTCTCTACTGTATCTTATAAATAAATAGCCACACCCATCTATAGATTTATAAATAAATAGTCACACAATCTTATTGAACATACTTTCTCAGAAGTAATATTGTTTATTGTTACTTTATTGTTAACGAAATGTATCTTTTATTCCTATTAAATAAACAAACTAACCACTTTTGTTATAAATTTTTAATTTAAATTTTATTCAAGACTGAAATCAGCCATGAGACTAAAGCCCCTGCACTCATGCTTTCAATTTCAAAATTACATAAAAGTATTATCTAAATAAATTAAAAAAATAAAAAATAATTGATGCAATAGTATTATCTAAATAATTTATGCTGAAATGCATAAAAATAAGAAATTTTTCAAATTAACACTAATTTTTCCACTAGATTTCAATTTAAACACACTAAAACAAATTTAGTAAAGACAAAAATATTAAATTCAACTTAGCTTATAAAAATAAACACGAATCACACACACTTATAAATAACCGTAATATATATATTTACCATCCTTTGCTACTTTGATTGCAATCTGGTGTAGAAAACCTATCACTTTCAGAGCAACCTTTTTCATATCCCCAGCATTTATTAAGACCCAATGAACCCTAAAAGCAATACAAAAATTAGATATGAAAACATGGTACGATTAAAAAATGCACAATGAAATAGCTTTTAGCATTTCAGATCTGCACTTAAGCATGCTTCTATTGTTTAATATTTTTTTTTTATCAAGGATAGTGGCTACACATATATAAGGAATCTAAATCCTTATATCCTTCTAAAAACATCTAGGAGAACACTGTAATATCATTCCTCACTTCTGTAGTTTTTGATTTTGTAAAATTGTACACATATGAATTACACATTATATGTATATAATAAATATAATATCACAATCACATGCAAATATTGCATGACAATTTTAAATCTTGTAATGGCACCAGAACTTGAAAAAGTTCAAGAGCCTTTGCAATAGAAATTTGATTTGAATATAATTTATTAAAATGAATAAAAATAGAAAATAAAAATTTAAAACACGCACACTTTTATTTATCTTATGAAAGAATGCATATTTCATATAAAAGTTTGATTGAAATATTTCTATAATTTTTATTAAGTAGCAAAAGAAAAGCAATCACATTAGAAGTATACATAATGTTGATCTCAATTAAAAGTATTTTTCTCGAACTCCTTATTAAATTTAGCATGATAAAATTAATTTTATTACCTTTTCAATTCAATTATCTCTTGTGCAACAAATATAAAAGATAGAAAACTAGGCAGATGCTGAAATAATTTTCCCCCCTAAATTAAACATCAAAAGCATGCACTTTAAATAATTATTTTAGGTACTTTAAGTATTGAATGCAACATTGCATAATTATAAATTAGAAAACTGCCAGTTTTTTCGAAATAAAATTTCACAATTTTTTAAAACATTTATAACGGAATTATTCAGATTAACATACATTTCCCTTAACCCACACTTCGATTGATATGTTATTAGAAAAAATGACTTTAAGAAAGAATAAAGATTTTAATATCGAGAAACAAATTAAAAATAATTATTTAAGAATATTTTCTACTTTACATGAATGTGAATCTGAATTTGAAGAATTTTGAATTTTAATCAATTAACTAAAAAAAATAACAAGATATACATTTCAGAGATAAATCTAATGCTAGAATTATTTGATTAGAAACATGGGAGATATTTCCGTACCACTGTTTGTTGCACCAACTATTGGTGATCGAAATGGGCTACAGGTTGCATAGAACAGAACTCTCTACCTATGGCTACACTTTAAAGTATGTAGGAGAAGTACATAGGAGAAGGAAATATGTTAATTTTTCTCTTGATTTTGAAATAGATTAAAAACTTTTAACCTAGGAAACTAACTGTATGGAACTGAAAACTATAAGGAACATAGTTCTAAAAGAAAATGTTATAGAAACTTTATAAAAATATATTTGACAATTAAATACAAAAAATATTAAGAAAGGAGAAAATATCGTAGTACATTCCTTTACAACTGAGAAGAGTAGGAGGTAGGGTCAAGATATGAAACCAGTATTTTTCCCAGATGGCATATTCGAGTGTTGCGATTGCAAATACTGGCCAAGGCATCATAATGATTTTAAACTTGCGAATTTTTTTAAGAAAAATATATGTAGAGTTTTGCTTAGAAGTGGCTATATATTATACTTTTTAAGTTAGTTTTCTTTTGTGCTGGGTTTTTTTTTTCAGCTTCTTGTGGTCCATCCTCAGATGTTGCCAAACTTTGGAGACCATTTAATTGCAGGTACAAAAACATATATCTTTTCAACATATTTTTTAAACTCTTACTAGACTTCTTCAAAAAAGCATGAGAGAAATAACACACAACTAGAAAGTTTCACAAATCAATAAAAGTTTTTCAGAAAAAAAGAAGAAAAAACAATTAAAATATTGCATCTGGGGTTCAATTATGGTAAAATTGTTAATTTTCATATCTTCTAAACAGACAAGATAGTTTTTGAAACTTTTTTAAAAATAATTGTGATAAAAACATTTTTGACAACACAAATTTCCATAAACTTACTTATAATTGTATCCATAAACTTATCTTAGTAATTGCATACAATAATTAAGATTATATTGTCAAGCAACATAAAAAGAAACAAATTCAAAATTATTCTTGAATATTGCTTACTTTATGAGAACATGAGTCGGAATTTGCACAGTTCTGAGATTCAATAGGATGATTTGAAAAATAATAAGGTATGTGTTCCGGAGGTAAATTTAATTCTAGAATGTGCGAGTTCGAAATAACAAGTGTAATCAGGCAGGTTATAATAATGGACATCAAACATAGAAAAAACCTAAAATTGAATAATAGAATTTAGATACATAAAAAGAAAAACATTATTCATAAAACAAATACTAAGATAATTGGTCTTACATTTTGAATCGGAGCATTTTCCAAAAATTTTTGACATTCTTTTCAACTGTTTTTAATATTTAGAATCTAAAAATTTTACATTTTTTTGCTAATTTTATATTCACTTCTGTTATATATTTATTAAGAAAATAAAGAGAAGTAGAATCATGATAATATGTATTCGTTTGAATGATTCATAATTTTTTATTTTCCCCCGGTTGTTGACATTGACAACCGGATATTGTGGGTGGTGAAGTGTGTAGTTAAGATTGGCTTAAAGATTTACGTCTCTATATTTACTATTATTTCTTTCAGAAATTACTTAGGCTAAGTTACCGCTGAATCAAGGAAAGGCATTGAGCGATTCCGTTTCAGAAATGGAAATGATCCTGAGTTAGGGACATTCTCATTGTATCCAATCACCACGGAAACAAAAAGAGAACCTGATTTTTGAGTTTTTCAGGAGAAAATATCTTTTTCTAATCAGTAGTTTATTTACGTCGCACTAGAGCTACACTAGGTTATTGGCGACGGTCTGAGAAATATCCCATCTTGAGGATAACTCGAAGACACGCCATCACGATTTTGATCCATTGCTGTTGTAGTTCATTTACGTCGCACTTGAGCTGCACAATGGGCTATTGGCGACGGTCGGAAATGCATCCCTGAGGATGATCCGAAGACATTGCCATCACAATTTTGATCCTCTGCAGAGGGTATGGTATGGCACCCCTACTCCGGTAGCCCGAAGACATGCATACAAAGTCGAGCACTTTACTTTAGAACAGTATAACGAGGACCAATGATTGATCCTTTGCAGAATGGACGGTAGGTTGGTACTTTATTTACATCACACTAGACTTGCACAATGGGCTATTGGCGACGGTCTGTGAATCCCTAAATATAATCCGATACATCTCTGAATATGATCCGAAGACATGCCATCGTAATTTTGATCCTCTGCAGGGGAGATGGCTTCCCTGATTTAGTAGCCCGAGGAGCTGCGTGTGAAGTCGAGCAATTTATGGTGGAACAGTTTAACGATGAACGATACCTCGCACCCTCGGTCCCTACGCAGGCCGATCAAAGTGGTCACCCACCCGCTTACTAACCGCAATCAGTAATGCTTGACTTCGTTGTTCTACTGGAAACCGTATCTTCATGATCAGTACACTGCGGGGCTGCAGAACGGATGGCACCTCTGACGTAGCAAGCGCGTGGTAAGAGGGGATATCTGTTTCCTCGCGTGGCATTAGAAGGGCGCGAAATTTATGAAAAACAAAAAAAAAATTTAAAAATAAATGTCAGAATAATCTCTTTCTGCTTTTTTCATGTAACTTATTTCATTTTCAATCTAACGAAAAATGGAATGAGAGAGAAATGTGCAGTTTGCTACGTTTTGCTTGAAAAACTATTTGGTTTAATCGCACCTACTTGAAACATTTGTTTCAAAACTAGCCGATAGATGGAGACACGTCATTCCATTTTTATTAAACTTGTCCTTCACCCAAATTGAATTAATCAAATAAGAATTATTACAGGCGATCACAACGCTCGAATACGCCATATGGGGAGGAGACCGGTTCCATGCCTTTGGACCTTCCCCCTTCCCGCTCCTCCTCTTTTCAGTTGTATAGGAATGTACTACGATATTTTTCCTTCTCTTAATATTTTTTCATATTTAATTGTTAAAAATATTTTTTGAAATTTCCATGACGCTCTCTTTTAGAACTATGTTCAATGTAGTTTTAAGTTCCATATAGTTTTCTAACTTAAATTTAATCTATTTGAAAATCAAGACAACTAACGTACTTCCTTCTTCTATGATTCTCCACACGCTAATGGTGAAAGTATGTAAAGTGTTGCCATAGGTATACTTGTACGTGTACTTGTACTACAGATGGCGTAAAGAAGAACTCTCTATAGAGAGTTCTTCTTCACGCCATCTGTAGAGATTTGTGAGGATCTGTAGAGAATCTGTAGAGATTTGTGAAGAAGAACTCTCTATAGAGAGCTTTGAACTAGAGCTATAGAAACTCTTTGATGGGAATGAATAAATTCACATTTGTAATAACGAGTAAAAATATTTTCTCAGCAAAAATAGTTCTGAAGTTCAATACCCCGCGTTAACTTTTAAAATCATCGTTTTTATATTTACGCTAACGTCTGTTAATTTTGTCCTCAGACTGCAGCATGCAGAATCGCCAACTTTCTACGCGTTTTGAGAAAATTTCTAAAAGTGGTTGATAAGTTTATGCTTTATGATTCTTTGTATTGTAAATTTGATTTGATGTTTCTTCCCACACCACTCCAAGTAAATAATTAAAAAGTTCATATGAAACGCCATTTTGTTCCAGTTCTCTCGTGATGACGTTTTTAAAATGCTGACAAAATTTCAAAATTTTTTAAAGTTTTAGCTTTGAATTGTTTATTAATTTATAAAAGCATTTTGCAAAAAGTGTAGTAGCTAGCAGCTTGAATATGTTGTTGTTACAAATGGTGGCTACAGTGCAAGCACTGTATCATCGTGTTTATCAGCAGTGCAATCTGCTAACGAATCTGTTCATTGATTTTAAAACTTCGTAGTGAGAATAAATGGCTTCGTTCCCAAGTAGAATTCAGGAATCCATTATGTCTGGACTGTGTGATACTGATACTTGAGTTAATTAACTGGGTTAATTATTACTTAGATCATTTTTGGTTAATTATTACTTAGATTCAATCATTACGATCATTTTGGGGACCCTTTTAAAATATAAAGTTCCCTTAACCATAAATTTAAAATACTAACACGTTTGAAAATCAATACATTGCCATAGTTATTATATGTATCAATTTTCTCGGGATATATTTATTTTTATTTTTAAAGCGGTAACAAAATGTACATAAAAATATTCCTTTATCTCAAATTAACAAAGTTCTTTTATAACGATTCTGACCACTACTGCAAATAAATAATTTAAATAAGTGCATAAGAATTCTAACAATGTTTTTTAAAATAACATTAAGTGTTGGCAGAGTTCAAGCAGTTCTTGCTAATAATTGTAAACTCAATTGCTATATCGCTATTAACGTGCACTACGAAGAATCTAATTAAAAAACCGTAAAATACTGATGTAGACAACGAAGATATTTCATAATCATCTTTAAATTTAAAATAAATAGATATTTGTTGTTTCTAATCCCCAAGAGGTCCATCCTAATTAGATCAATTCCATAAGTCCAAAAATGTCCAGAAAGTCTAAAAACAGATGAGGTTTTGGAAAAACCTCGCCGATCTTGAAATCGATGAAGTTTAGAATATGCTCGGGCGAAGCTTGAGCGGTCTTACATTTAGTGCAAAGTCCAAAAGTCTTTTGCCCCTGAACATACGAGAGACACCTCAAGTGACCACTTGCAAAGCGAGACAAACAAGTCTGCTGGCTTCTAGGTCCCCCAAAAAGCAAGGCACTTCCAGGTCGTTTTCTGAAATACCAATTATGCGGAGGAGGAAAATAGATATTTTTCTGCACTAGCAATCTGTTTAATTTTAAGGGGGGGGGATATCAAAGCTGTAAGATATCAATATTCGAATTAAGTATTACTAATTTAAGACTAAATGTTTAAGAGATTAATGTAAAATTGAAATAGTTGGGTTGGTTGGTTGGTATTAATGCTACTTGCCACACGGGCAAGCCTGCTTGGTGAAACCGAGTAAATTTAAGGCAGAGTGTACGATTCTTGTTTTTTCAGTTGCGCCATCTATGGCCAAGAATTCGACTCTGCCACACCATTCGTCACACCCGTTTTATAGGGCGGACCCATTCATATTTACATCCATTCATTCATCCACAAATCGTAAATTTGACCTGAATCAGAGAACGATCGATCTCCAATCCAGTACCCCAAGAGGTATTGATATGTTATGGGAAAATGAAGGACTTTTGCGACTCGACAGATTTAACGTGCATCAGTCACTTTACTACACGTCTTCGGGCGGCGGGGTTCGAACCCACGAACTCTTGGACCTGGGCCCAGCGCCCTACCTACCACGCTATCCAGAGCTGCTAACTTTAAGTAATTTAAAAAAAATTCACCTTTTAAAAAAAAGAACTGCGAGAGCTCAGGAATTGTTCTATTTCATATTTTGCAAAAATGAAAAAAAAAGTGTTTTCCTGAAGGGGAGAGGGAAAAAAAACTGGTAGCATGCTCGTTCACCCTTAAATGATGAAATTATCCCGTTGTTAGCTATCAGTATGACAGGAATACGAATAATTGCCTAGTTGCAAAAAGTCCTGTAAAGTGGCAGAGAAACACAAAATAAAGATTACAAAATTCGGTTTTATTTTGCAAGAGATAAAAAAATTGCTGGAAAATCCCTACAAGAGATATCTGAGCAAAGTGGCATTTTATATGTAAGTTTTAATTATTTATTTGTCATAGCAAACAAATTCAGGTCTAAAACAAATGTTCCACCTCAATCAATAATTATATATTAAAACATAAATTTTGTCACCATTAAATTTAAAAAAAAAGAAGCATTTTGGTGTTTTTACTAATTTCTTGCAATAATTTTAGCTGCAATATTTCAGGTACATTTTAAGAGTTTACTTTTAAATATAAGTTAAGACAATTGGGTACTTGTAACTCGAGAAGAAGATGATCACTGATACGCAGACACGTAACCTATGACCTCAGCGCCAGCTGATCGTTTATACACAAGATAGCGTGTCAAAGTCGAGCTAAGTTTCTCTACATAAGTTAGAATGTTAATTAACGTGAAGTTAATTAAATAGAACGACGTATAGCACATCGAATTTGTTGAAATATAATTCTTTCGTCTGCATCTTTTACTTAACTTAGATATATTATTTGTTTATGTATTTTTGTTGTAACCATGATATATTTTGCCATTATCTTGAATCTGGCAACTTTGCATAATTTGTTTTCGTTTTACATTGCTTCGTGGCTATCTTTGTGTTAAGTAAGAAACACATAATGGAAAAATTGAAATCGTTGTAAAAGAATCTCAGTGAAAGTGTATAGAATATGTCACTTAATAGAATTGATACTTGACGTGTTTGGCTTATTCGAAATAGCATGGAAAGGACCGTGGCTAACGTAAATAAATGCCACGTTTCAACAACTAATCAGAATCGAGATACCCACACAACGTCACTTGCAGGTATCTCATTGCCATACTTCTTATAGGTAAATGGTAATAGAACGAGAGAAAAAAAAGGATGCAGCAGTTTTTATTTTTTCGAAATACAACCTTTTTCTTAGAAATGGTCAATTCTTTGTGATAGTGAAAATTCAACAGGCTAAGAAATATCTAGTACTTGACTTGATGTATTTTCAGATCTACAATTGATTACTGTTCAAGAAGAAACTGAATTCTAATGAAGTACATGCTAACAGCACTGGACATTTTTTCAATGTACAGAGTTGCTCCGCTCGTCTCAAAAATAATAATCACAGTAGTGCTCTGAAACTGGGCACCTGTTTGTTTTAATACTTCTTCTTCAACAACACATTCGCTTGGTTATTGGCACCGTCATTTCGACACAAACTGTCCGAAACCGCCTTCACGCTGTAGGTCTTTATGCTTGTTGACCAATGGTGTGTGTCATGTTAACAGCAAGGCACCGTCGCGGACGCAGGGAGTGGGCAACAGAGCATGTGAACTTGAAGAAAAATGGATGGCACAATATTCCTTTCTCTGACGAGTCCCGTTTTTCTGCTCATCGTAATAATAGGCGTATTTTCATCTAAAGGGAACATGGCACTAGAAACAATGCTACGTTCGTGCACGAAAGTGTAAGATTTGGCAGTGGGGGAGTGATGGTCTATGCTGACATCGCCTTTGATGGACGTACCAATCTCCATATCATTCGAAATGGAGCTCTGACCTGTCGCCGATATAGGGCTGAGATCCTGAGACCTATTATAGTCTCTTACGCAGCAGCAATTGGAGATGACTTCATGTTAATGGGCGACAATTGCAGGCCACATCGGGCTAACTTCGTGAAGGATTTCCTTTTGGAGGAAGGAATCATACGAATGGATTGGATAGCGTGTTCTCTGGACATGAACCCAATCGAGCATGTTTGGGACATTCTAGGCAGACTAATTGCTGTACGTCTACAACCCCCCACAAACTGTCCAAGAAATGGAAAGACTTCTTCTGGAGGAGTGGGAGAGAACACCCCAGCCCCTGATTAATAACCTCATTGACTGGATGCCTCAAAAGTGTTCAAAGTTGCTGTCCGTTCGGGTAAACCATACCCACTACTAAAAACGATTTTATTTTAAGGAAACACCTTTTTTTTGTTTTTCACACGTGCACAAATCGTGTATTTTTTTGTAGTGAATATTATTTAAATTTAAGCTATTAGAATTGAAGAAAGTTTTACTCGCTTTTAATGGTAAGTTTATTACCTTCATAATATTTTGGTCGAACAACAGGAAGAAATTTTTTCCGAAAATTGTGAGCCTTCACATTCCCATAAACAAATTTAATGAAATTCATTTCAAGTATGACTGTCACTTTATTACAAATTATATTAATAAATCAATGCACTTTTTCATTCAAAAAAATTAAATAAATTTTCATAGTATTTCATATTAACAGGTGATAGTTTTTGCTAACAGATTTGATAATTATTTACAAAACAATTGTTCCACAAACAATTCGGTTCAAAACACTTTACTGGCTTTCTAAGTCACGTCTTCTACGTCCTGGACCATTGGCGAAGTTTGCTGCGGCCAATCCCATCAGATGTTTCGCGGCTTGGCTTCCTGAGAATCCTCTTGACAAACCAAGATCTATTCCTCTTTTCTCACTGCTATTTATAGAAAGGAAAAATATTTAGTCCAGATGCTCATGATTATTTTCAAATATTTTTGTAAGAGTTTAAAATATAACAATTGTAAGGTTTATTATCAGCTATTGATAAGTTGTTTGTTATGAAACATTAAAAAAAATGTTCTATCAAAATACTTTGTTGCAACGATTAAAAAAATCCACCGTGAAAAAATTTTCCTTTGGGTTTGGTATTCTTCAGTTACCAATTGTCTGCGAGAAGGCGTAAATCCACATTGTATACTATTTTTAAATATAATAGGCGTCTTAAGGTTACTCGATTTCCTCATTCTCCACGCTATACCTCTCCCCGTTTCTATGATTTCGGCAAATCTTGCTTTTTTAAATCACCAGTATATTCCAATGAAACTTACTGCTGTAGATAAAAAGCAAGATGGACCAAAGAGACGGTAATGGAGAGGGAAAAAGTGTAGAGAGGAGGGAAATCACTTAACTTTGAAACATTTACGAAGACAATTGAAGCAATTACTTTGCTTTATTTACGAAGATTATAGCATGGGAAAAGTGATTTTATGCAAAAAGTGGTAATGGTAACAATTAAACTTAGTAGATAGTTTTTAACCCTTTCTGAAATAGCAAATTTCGAATGAATACTTTAGTCAGACAGGACAATAGCAAATGCGATCTTAGAGAATATGTTCTAATTGAAGCGACATACTTTATCATTTGAAAAATAGTGGTTGCTAAATGTTTAAAAGCAATCGGTATCACATTTCTAGTGGTTTGTAACATTTGTTGAATCAGTGTTGCCAGACTAGTAACACTGCATGGAAAGAGTTAAAAGAATCGAAATCTTATAATTTCAGAAAGTACTAAAGATGATATTTTTCTTGCTAATAAATTGTGATGGAAATGAATGATTTTTTTCCTTATGAATTCTGGTAAAATAACTCACTAGGCTTTATCTCTTTGAAGAAAAAAAAATCTGAACATTTGCGTCAAAAGAGTTCAAGTCAAAATGTTAGCTGATTTTCCACGATCGAATTTTCTTTTATCTCAAATTTGCGATTTTTTGATTAAATCGATATTAATTGATTATTGTTATTATTGATTAATCGATTTAGATTATTGATATCGCAGTCAAAGCCGTCACTAGACTCACCAACGCCTACACCACCAGGTTCATTAACTATAATCTCCTTGTCGTGACTCTAGAAAAATAGAACACTTAAAATTCCATTATATTTCCGCTTAATCCGTTAAAAATAGTTTGCACGTAATTTTTTTTAATTTCTTTTTTATTTTCAAATTTCATTCCTAAAAACTGACAACTGATTTTTCGATCATAATTTTCAATTTTCTTTTTTAAAAAATTGGATTATTGCTTAATTTTTATTAGAGTGGGGATTTATAAATGAAATATTTTGGGTGTTTAAAAACATTGTTTCTATAAACATGTGGAAATTTTTAAATGTAACCTTATTTTCTAATCTTACGATTCTAATTTCCATGTCTAGAAATACGAAGACCGCTGCTTTCAGGTTTAATGCGTAGGTCGTTGGTCATGGCAGTATCGATATGATTAAAATAGAAAACAAAAGTTTTTGAATTTGCAACAAATAATAATGAAATAAATAATTTCTGTCGAAAGCCCTTGGGCAACACCTTGCTCGCTTGCCCCACTAAGTCGGTGCAGACGGAAAACGGGTGAAATTGTCTGGGAAATATGCCATTCTAGTGTTCGCCATGTTAAATTGTCACAATATTTTATTGCTCTTTTTTCTGTTCGAATTTACGAAAGTGGCAAAAATTCTTGATTATTGAATATTTTTTATTAGAGTTATAATTATTAGCTGCTGTGTTGTTTGAAAACGTTAAGTCGCGTAAGTTAAGTCACATGACTACATTTTTTTATTGTTGTCATCATAGCGTTAATTTTGGTAAAGTAGTCAAGCAGATTTCCTGTGGGATTAGAAGGAATAAAATTACCGATATACCGGTTACCGAACATTACCGATTGCTAATTTTAACGTTGGAATTAGTATTTTAAGAATACAGTGAGCAAAATGAAAAGCGGAACAACTTAATAACTTTTGATCTAATCATCGGATTGTCACGTTCTAAGATGGCGTCTTAATGATTTGAGGATCTAACTTTAAATATGATAATTAATTTATATAAACTACGTTTTAAGTAACAAAACCAGACAAAAAATCCCTTTATCAGAATAAACATGCCTCTTTTGTTGTATTCTTTTAACCCACAAAATATGCAATATAACCGAAATCCAGAATAATAGTTAAAGAGAATTGCTAAATGGTATTCCATGAAACTCTAGGATTCCGTGTGAGAGTTAAAGAGTAAGAGTAAAGAGTAAAGTCTAGTTAGGATTTTTTTTAAACCAATGATTTATATTTAGATACAACCAATAATTCATTACTTATTTAATATTTTGGTTGTTTTGTTGTTGTCTTATTTAATATTTTGGTACCATAATTTGTTTTTATACCATATTAATCTACAAATTTTTCTATATTGAAATCTAAAGTGTTTTTATAAAGTAGAAGTTGAAAAAAATTGAAATCAATAATTTAAAAGAATAATAATTTGACGACAGTGAAAAAAATATTTAATGGAGTGATTAATGCATAAATTTGGTAAACTTACATTTCGTCTTAAGAAAATAAGAATGATATAGCTCTAATGAACCTTTTGAATAATTTCGTTACTTTAGGAATTAAAATCTGTTTGAACGTAACATATTATTGCTTAAAGCTAAACCAAGAAACAATGTAACTATTTTTATTTATTTAAGCTTATTCCACTGATTTGTTGACAGCGGTATCAAGGATAAAGATATGCATTGGAAGCACGGATTACTATTATACTACAGATGCATTAAATCACATAGCTTGAATAATTCATTTTAAGGAAAATCTTTTAATAATCTTAAGCAATTAAGGATACAAAAATAAACTCTTATCGAAGTACGCCTAAAGTTTACCCTAAAATATATCTCGAATAAATTTTGAAATCGATAAATAAAAAATACATTTTCAAAAAATTTCTAGTAGGACGAAAAGTTACAATTTCTCACTCGACTTTTGAAATTTCAATTGTAAACGCTAGCACTAAAATAATTGTACTGCATTGATTTATTTAGAAAGTTGTGACGAATTATTATTTTTTCCATTTAAGAGCTTATGCTATTATCTTACGTTAATTTTTCTTTAATATCGCGTGAACTAACTTAATATACTGCGTTACTAAATGAATAATCCTAAGAAACTAAAGAGAAAAGATAAAAACTTCGTTGATTTGAAAAATTATAGAGATGATAATAAAGGTAGACATGTTTTGAGTGTCTAAAAATTAACGTCATGAGTTATTTTCTCCTGGCGAGTCTTCAGAATGGGCGCCTATTTTTGAACGCTCGTCACATGTTGACTTTAATTTCCATCTTCATGTTTTGTGAAACCCGTGAAGTTTTATCATCAATTATACTGTTTTACATTTGGGTCTTGATCACTATTTTGGTAAGAATTTCATATTCGTAAAAGCAAACATCTGCATTTTAATATTTTTAACGGTGTTCACGTGGTCCTTAAGAAACTAGGAGAACCGAAGCATCAATATTGTAACAATAAAGTTATCTTCAACTTTAAAATTTCTCTGAGTCTCTCAAAGGGACTCCCTAGAGTTCATTTCCACTTCGGCTTTTCTGCTCCGGTCACTAAGAGGGACCTTATTCCAGCTCATCTTTGGTAGTTGGCATTGGAAGTTTTTAATGAGATCCCCAATAACTTCATAAAAATGTTTACGAGGGACCACGCTGGTAGTGGTATCTAAATTGAGAAACCAGGGCAAAAATTGTCCATCCATCCGTAACCTAGATTTATCCTTAGTCTTTCAAAGCGAACTTATTACAATCGAACAAGGTCTCGAAGCTATTCTCAACGAGTGTGACAGCGATGACCTATGGATTATTTCGAATTGTTGCAGCTCCCTTCAACACCTTAAAAATTGAATTACAGTTGGAGATTATACTAGCATTTCTATTCTTCTTAAGCTTATTTCAAAGCACCACGATGTTCATTTTCAGTGGATTCCACCTCACGCTGAAATCTATGTCAATAAGTAAGTGGATCGCTTAGCCAAGGAGGGTCGTAGTCACTCAACACCTTCCTCTTCAGAGCATCAATCTAAAGTTAAATCTACAATTTCACAGAAATGGAAGACCCCTCCCTGACACCACTGGTATCTGAGCAAAGAGTCTGGCTCTTCGTTTGTTCTGAACTAAGACAGAATCTCACGAATGGCATTTCCAAGATTTGCAAAGAGAAACACGAGGAATCTCTCGTTCTTTCAGGTCAGATGGATCTTTGCAGTCTGCTCTAAATGTCAAGCTAAGAAGGCCTCTGCAGAACACATCCGGTGCTGCTTGGGTTTTTCCAGAGAGGACTTATATGCTTCTCCTCATGTGGCTCTCGATTTTATGATGCTTAACGGTCTAATGGAACTTGTCTGACTTAGTCAGACCGTTGGAGCAGAGGCCAACAACTGATTATTCCAAGTTATTTCCGGCTCGTATGCATAGCTATCAATTACTGAACTGGGAAAACTCGGGTACAATTAAAATTTTTAGCATGATTTGCTTTCCCTTGTTCGCACCCAACAAAGGAAAATATTCTACTTTAATTGGCGTTTTGTCAATTTTTGTTTCAGATTTTCGTGTTGGATGGCAGAAATTATTAACACACGCTTGGCAGATTTTAGTCACATTGGAAATTTTTGAAAAATTTAAGATTTTAGTCAAACATTACTTTCGCAATTACGACCATAAACTAAACGTTCTGCTCTGAACTGAGCTGTATAAGAATATCTGTGTGCCTGAGGCCACTTGCTGCCCTTTGCCCATTCGTCCGGATCCTGACCAATGTGGTGGTTTGAGGAGGTGGTGGGAAGGCGAATGGAGTATTTTTGAGGACAGATGAGCGTTAAATTATGACTATGTAGCTATAT